GTTACTCCAGAGACGGGATGCAGGCCGGCGTCATCACCAAACCCTTCTTATGCTTTCCAGAATGAGGCTAAAGAGCTCAACGCGGTGCACTCTGATGAAATGACATGGTAAACGGCCAGAGCTACACAGAGCCGGCGGGAGCCAGCGGGATCAGCGTGTGCAGTGAGCTGAGCGTGACGCAGCCTCATTCCTCACTCACATTTTAACCTGATTTTCTCGTGCATCCACGGGGGGTGAAGGGTGATTTATTATCAAATAGGCTTTGTGTGCTGCCCCATGCCTGATATCCTGGCACAGCTGGGTCACGGGAGCCGACGTGTCGCCAAGCGGTGATGAAGACCACAGACATCCCAAAACAGAGACCCCATTTAAGGCTGGGCTCTCCCGCTATATGCTGATGATGCTCTTGAAGACAACCTCACAATGCCACCAATAACGCCCTTCACGACTGCCCCGATAATACCCTGACGAAGGCTCCAGCGACATCAATGACGAAGACCGCAACGACGACACTTTGATGATGCCATTGACGATACCCTGGCAATGCTCCTGCCAACAGCCCTGACGACTTGACGCTGCTGTCGGGATAAACTGCAGTGGAACTGGAACAGAAAGGAGTGTTGGGAAGTTTGAGGAAAATGAGACTCAGACGCTATTAAAACAGCCAATTAACCCAACAGACGACTTCATTATATTAAAGTGACTCCTTTAGGGAAATGGCTTCATGCTGAAATATCGGGATGCAAAGATGGTTCTTACGGTTCTCCCCCGACTCCCCTCTGCCCCTGCACTCCCTGTCCCTTCCAATTCACCGTGCCGCATGATACGGTCTCCCCCCGGCCCCCAGAACTGCTGCAGTCCAGGTGCATTTATAAGCGTAACACCGTCAAACGCAATTGAGACAGAGATTTAGCCGCACCATGCAGATCAGAGCCGCACTCCAGATGCAAGAACATCCATCCTAATGAGGAGAGCTGAAACCAACGAACTGACAGAACTGGAAAAACAGCCCCCTGCCCCGCTGCCCCCAAGTGGCCACACATTGGTATGACATTAACAGGCTGGTCTGCAAGAATCGGTGCTCCTTCTTTAATGGGGCTGGTGGTCGTCAGGGAGGACCAGGGTGTGGAGAGCAACATCATCGCAGCTTTCAGGAAACATTTCAACTGCTGCTGGATTTATGCGTGACTCATCTGCAGCGCTGATTTAAAGCTCCAATTAATTAGCTGGTAGAGTGAAGGAAAACGGATCAGTACCAGACGCAAAGCTGTCTCAGAACGTGATCGATGGACGGGGTCACTGCAGCGCAGACCAGATCAGCACCAGAAGCAAAGCTGTCTCAGAATGTATTTGACGCCTAGGGTCACTATGGGCCTGCCTGGGTTGGCAATAGATGTAAAGCAGTCCAGGAACGTGATCAATGGACGGGGTCACTGCAAGCCTGACCAGATCATCACCAGTCATAAATCCATCTAGAAATGTGATCGATGAATGGGGTCACTACGAACCTGACCGGATCCACACCAGATGCAAAGCTGTCCTGGGAAAGGTGATTGATAGTTGCGGTCACTACGGGCCTAAACAGATCAGCACCAGACACAAAGCTGCCCAGGAACGTGATTAATGGAGGGTTCAATGTGGGACTGACCGGATCAGTATCAGACACAAATCCGTCCTAGAATGTGGTCCTTGAATGGGGTTACTGCAGGTCTGACTGGATCAACACCAGACGAAAATCCGTCCTGGAACATAATTGATGGGCGGGGTCATCGCAGGAGTGAACCAATCAGTACCAGACTCAGAGCAGTCTTGGAACGTGATCGATGGACGAGGTCACTGCGAGACTGACCGGAACAGTACCAGATGCAAAGGCACCTAGGAATGTGAACGATGGATGGGGTCACTGCCGGACCAACTGGATCAGTACCAGATGTACAGCCGTTATGGAACGTGACTGATGGATGAGGTCACTGGATGCTTGCCAATACTGCCATTAAAATGGAGCAAAGATGTGACTGTAATTGTCACTGAATTATGATGTTGCTGCATTATGATGTCATGTATTATCACAGAGTGTTTATGTCACTGCATTACTGTCATAGAATGATGTCAGTGATGATTATATTGCGGTGTTACTGGTATGGAATGATGATGCAGTGATGATTTTTCTGTGCTTTTCTCACTGATGCTGCATCCAAAATCACACACTTCCATACTAATCAGTGCCCCAAAATAGTATGCCGCATGTAATAGTATATCTGAAATCATAGTGTGCATCGGTTACATGGATGGCACATTACATTTGGTCAAAACCTGGAACACTGGATGCTATTGAATCTCATTCTATAAGCGACTTCATCAGAAGTCAGGAGTCAACTTATGAAAATGAAGAACAACAGTAATGGTGTTTTTAAGCATGAGTATAATTCTTAATTATGGAACTCGCATGATTATTTGTAAAGTATGACAAATGTATTAATTATGTTGTTTTTTTTTTCTTTATAAATTTTAAAAAGCAGGATGCAAAATTGTTGATGTGATGACCTGTGATGACAAGATAATGTCACATCTAAACAGCACTGAATGCAATGCTGTAAGTGGAAGTGGTGCGTTTGGTAAACGGTTTATGAAATCGGTACTTGTTGCTTTCACATAATGATTGTGGACAAACAGCAGCTCTGGGTGAATCAGGACATCTGTCATTAAAAGCCCAAGTTCAGCAGCTCAGAGGTGACGCAGTGCAGCTGGAAATTTTGTGTTTGGGCAATAAGGAATCGTATAAATGACCATAGACGTTGTATGTACCAGTGGTGGATGGTGATGTTTAAAACTGGGCAAACACATCGTCAGTCTTTTTTCTTATCTTAGCCAGTCAGCTACTTATATGTAAATCTGGTTCCCTTTCTATTTGTAATGATCTTTCATGCTGTCATACCAGCATGGCTCCTTTGCAAGCATTTTGACCATTTTGAACATACAGACATCTTAGTTTGTGAGCTAACTGTAAACTAGTTTGCTAAATATTACTGAAACTTCACTGAAAATTAAACGATCAGATTCAAAAACAATGATAATGACTTAACCATATTTACAAATGCCAATCATGAAAGGTTTGTTAAAGGTACGATAGGAAATGTTAAACTGTCACTCTGTGCCGTAACCAGACACTTCTGTGCTCCTGCATGCGTAAGAATGAGAGACTCCCGGGAGCCAATGCCGCCGACCGCATGTGAAGCTTGTCGGTCATTAGCATTAATGTTATTGGCAACATTAATGTCGTTATCCTGTCTTGTCTCCCAGTCACCATAGAGAGAAGCCTGGCTTCCAGGCGGGTGGAAAATATCTGACTGCAAGCATGTCTAATCAAAGCTGCCTAAGCAAAGAAGGGTTCAACGTAGGGCTAAAAGAATGATTCCTGGTCATAGAGGAATGTCTTAGGCGGAGAGCTTAGCTGAGCTGAATCTGTTCAGCCTCGAGCAAAGGGGACTAAACAATTGCTTATGGTGTGTACTGCTTCCTCATTTAAGTACATAGTGCACAGTGTCCGATTTCGGATGCTGCCTGAATGATGATGTCACTGGAGAGGTGTGGGGAGATGTGGGGAGGCATGGGGTGGTGTGTGAAGCCACGGAAAGCTCTCTCGGTTGATATGAACGCCGATTGCGATCTGTCAGGCTTTCGGTCCTCATGTCAGCACGGCTAGACGGAAGGCAGCCTAAGAAGCCAGGCGTGAGTCACTTTTCCTCCCGTTCAGATATTTCTGCGGTGAAGGGGGGGGGCTTTAATGATCTCCCTCCCCTGGTTGCCGCCACCACACCGCATAGAGTTGGTATTCCACGCACTTCAGCAAATAAACTGATGGCAAATTGACTCTGTCACTAGCGGTAATGGCAGGAGACCTCTGGGACAGGAAGTGGAAATTTAGACGTGACACGGGCTTCACTCCAGACGAGCAGGCGGGTCAAGGGACCCCCCCCTGAATCCTACAAGGCAAACGCGACCATTTTTTGGGTGGCTAGTGCCCCCCTGCGTTTCTGCACCATCTGCATCCAAATCTCCATGTCCTGATCAGCTAATGAGGCCCCTCAAAAGCTTTTGGACGTGCCGTGACGTCCCTGCAGAGGCGAGCCTGAAAGTGACAGGAGACGTGAGCCCTGGAAACATGGGAATCAGCTATAGAGGACACCTTCATTGAAGGGTGGGGAGGGGGGAAGGCGGGAAAACTGTGAATATTCATGAGCAACGTTACCCATCACATCAGCGCAGCCCCCTGCCGTTGCCGCACGGGGCAGGACACCCAAACCGGCATCTCTCATCATCAAAGGCGCAGCCTGACCGTGGCATGGTGAGACAGTGCCACACACACACACACACACACACACACACACACACACACACACACATACACATACACACACACAGGCACACATATGCACAGACAGGCAGGGTAGCCCTACCACAGGCCAGAGCCGGAGTGCGTTGTTGCGTTTGAGACGGCTCACCGGAATCGTGTCTCTCAAAACCCAGGAGAGGTAACACAAAAGCATGTTAGAGGATCACACGACTGAGGATGTGCTGTGCATCTAGTGTGCTGAACACAGCAGGGTTACATTAGGACAGCAACAGCCTGAAGAATTCCCTGTGAACTGCTAGAATGCTGCGTGGCACAAATGAACGAAATAAGACCCACAACATCAGTGTCACCATCACCAGCCGCCCCTGCATGGTTCGGGGTAACATGCAGCCAACCCTCTGAGCTTTTACCCAAAACATGCTCAGCTGGTGCGTTTCCATGCAAGCTGACTGGTCCCCCCACTTACAGCCCTGTCTGTCTGCGTCTGGGTTATCAGGAAAGTGCTCCGTGGATATTTACAGGCAAGGGAAGGGAACGTCTTCCAGGTTGTGCTGTGAGGGATGCCCTTCATCTGACCTCTTTGGAGCGACGATGCATCTTAATGGCTAAGGGACATTTTGGGCCAACGTCACTGGATGTCACTCACCTCCTGATCCGGGACCCTCACGTATCCCGTGTGCGGCTTGGACGCCTTGCGCTGGCCAAACACCTGCTGCAGCAGCACAAAGGAGCTCTCCGTGTAGTTGATCACGCCGAAGACAGACAGCGCCACCATGAGGACGGTGGCGATGATGTACTTCCTCTGAAGGTTAGAAGAGAGGACAGAAAGCGAGCAGGCGGTCAGCAGAAGGAGGAGGCCCGGGGCTGTCGTTTCAGAGCTCTGGCACTGGCTGTCCATACAGACAGGCGGCACAGTGACTCCGAAGCAGGACAGAGCGTCCCACACAGTGTGGTGGCTTCTAATGAAAGAATCATTGCAGCGTGTCACTCAAGGCTCCGTCTCCTGACAGTCTATTTGATATCATGGGTTGTTTCCATATTTTAAAATGGAAATTAGGCTTTTGCCACATCAACAACATTATTTTCTCATTTACAGGACAGGAACAAGCAGCTCTCGACAGAGTGAGAAATTAGACCTGTCCCATCTAGCAGTTATGACAGTAATCCATCCTGGTACACAAGAAGTGTGCATGTGTGTGTGTGTGTGGGGGGGGGGGGTTAATCCCTCAAGGTGTAACCGCACATCACAAGAAAAAGGGAAATGGCTCAATGGAAACCACAGGTGGTGCAGAAAATGAATCAAGGAATGGTGAAGAAACCAACAGCAATAATCAACAAAGCAGGATCGTGACATCAAGGCAGGATCGTAACACCAAGGCAGAATCTTGACACCAAAGCAGGATCGTAACACCAAGGCAGGATCGTAACACCAAGGCAGGATCGTAACATCAAGGCAGGATCGTAACATCAAGGCAGGATCGTAACACCAAGGCAGGATCATAACACCAAGGCAGGATCGTAACCCTGAAGCAGGACTGTAACACCATAGCAGGATCTTGACACCAAAGCAGGATCGTAACACCAAGGCAGGATCGTAACATCAAGGCAGGATCGTAACATCAAGGCAGGATCGTAACACCAAGGCAGGATCATAACATCAAGGCAGGATCGTAACACCAAGGCAGGATCGTAACACCAAGGCAGGATCGTAACACCAAGGCAGGATCGTAACACCAAGGCAGGAACGTAACACCAAGGCAGGATCGTAACCCTGAAGCAGGACTGTAACACCATAGCAGGATCTTGACACCAAAGCAGGATTGTAACACCAAGGCAGAATTGTAACATCAAGGCAGGATCGTAACTCCAAGGCAGGATCATAACACCAAGGCAGGATCGTAACCCTGAAGCAGGACTGTAACACCATAGCAGGATCATGACACCAAAGCAGGACTGTATGTCTATAAGACCAAACCACACCCAACACCACTCCATGTCCAAGTTCCCCCACACCAGTGGTTCATGCCCAGCATATCTGGGTGAATCAGGCAGAACAGTTTTCCTGTGAAATATCTGGCGCCTTCTCAGCTCAGAATCGCGTCTCCTGTTTATTCTCTCACTTCCAAGTAAATTAACCTTTATTTCTCACCCAACCCTCCCAAAAAGCTTTCATGCAAAATCATCAGGCCTTGGCAGAAGTTTACAAACAGAGCCTCTTTATAAGAGCACAAAGCAAAGCCTGGATGTAAGACCAAGGCTTTGCTATAGAAATATCACTAGAGCATCAAAAGAGAGAAAACACTTTCATCTATTAAGCTCCTTCAAACAAACATCTGGTCTCACCTTAGGAAATGATACCTTCCAAACCTGAATGTCTTCTACTAAAACCATGAGTGTTTGAAGGAAATATGAGCTTTCGCAGGTGCCCAAATGAGCTTTGCAGGCAAATCGGAAGCATTAGGGTCAAGCTGGCAGAACTGCACAAGGAAACTGTGAGATGCTTCTGAAGAACAGGCGTCACCATCTCATGCATCCGCATCTCTAAACACAAGTGTTAGGAGGTCACTGGATTTTCACTTCCCATCAAATCGAAATCTGTTCTGAAGCGGAGACAATGGAGACTGTTACTATGAATGAAGACGTCAGATGAACATGTCGCCCCCTGCATCTGAGGGACCATAACAGCTTCCAGGAGCCACGGTGAGCGTTCACGCCTCTCAGACCAACTCCCGTAGATCTTTGTGTGTTCAGCACATCAACACTTTCAGCTTGCAGTATAATAATTTCACACTGTTTGTACATCGTTACACACAGCACCTAGAACATAGCAAAATGGTAAAAAAAAAAAAAATTAAAAAGGACATTTCTAAAAACAAAATACTTTTAAGCAGTCCCGCTTAATTAGGAGAGATAAACAGGAAGGCGGTCACTTGGGTGTGGGATCTCGGGCAGAGACTGCCTATGAGTTATTTCAGACGCCACAATATGAAGAGGAAGAATTAAGGAGGGAGACGGGGAATGTGAAGATGGAGGCTTCCACCCCCAGGGGGCGTCTGGGGCCGCATAGACACCGTGGGAGGACGCTTCAGTCTGACGAGGCAGTGAGATGAATTAGCCCGTTTGGCCACTGATGAGAGGCAGAGGGCGCAAGCGGGAAGAGCACGAGTGTGACCCAGGTCCGCAGGGAGCCATCCAATGGCAGAATCAGTGATTCTCGTGGCAAAAGCAATAAAATATATTCCCCGTTTTACTTTTGTCTTGGCCAGAAATCACCCATTATGATTAGTCAGTTTAAAGCTGCCAAGAAAATAACGCTGAAATGGGTTATGTGGGTAGTGCCACTTGGGGGCGCTGTGTGGCTCAGTGGCTTTGGGCTGTATGCATGTGAGGAAGGTTACTGGTTGGAATTACGGGGTCGGCAGATTGATGCTGCCGCTTGGCCCTTGAGCAAGACTCAGGCCCAGGCTTCTCACTCATCTGCGTGTGTATATTAGGTTTATATTAAATTGTGGGGACCAAATGCCCCCCCCCCACCAATGTGATAAAAACCTGTTATTTTGACATTGTGGGGACCATTTTTCAGGTTCCCACAAAGATCTGTGAATGCAATCAAAAAAGTTAAAATGCCAAAAGACTTAAATTTTGTTTTGGTTACTTATGGTTAAAGTTAGGTAGGAGTTAAGGTTGTCATGGTGGGATTAGAGTTTCCCACAAAGAGATAATTACAAACCTGTGTCTGTCTGTCTGTCAAAGGTGATGGGATATGCGAAAAAAAAGCACGTAAATAGCCCATGAATCACCATTTCATTTAGCATCTGTACATCGAGCTGTATCTCTAAAAGCCCAGATGCCTGTAAAGCCCAGCCGCTCACATGCATTCTGGGACAGAAATCCCTTCGGGACAAGGACAAGCCAATGTGAGCATGGGGAGACAGAAGTATCCCACTCGCGTCCAGAGTGAGCTCAGCGCCGGCATCAGCGAGAGCCGGAACAGCGGCAGTGCCAGGACAACCAGCGACATGAACGGGAGCTCACAAAATAAACGGGTCACCAGCAAACTCAAAATACCCCTCACCTGTCATCATCTCCCTCCGGCGTGTGCTGGCTGGCCCAGAAGCACCTCCCATCATCGAATCAGACAGCACACCCTGCAATCACTTCCTGGGAAGGAGCGTTTGGCTGACAAGGTCCTGATTGCAGGCTTTAAGTCGACATGAGTGGCTGACAGCCGTTTGGTCTTGAATGAGGCGCTCAGACCGAAGTGAAAGGTATTTATTCAGTTAAAGTCATAAACTCAAACAAAAATCAGCTCTTCAGAATGAATAAGTTTCAGTTGTACTGGGCAGTCTCTTTTGAAGTGCTCTCCTGCCGAGGGGAGGTATTCTCACCTTGCGAGTACGTCTGTATACTGCATATTGACCAGCAGTGTTCCTGTGAGGACAGGCGCTCACGTTTATAACCGGGAGCCCAGCTCTGCTTCTCACCTTAACATTTATACTGCAGCATAAACCTGGAGATCTACAGCATATTCCGAAGGAGGAAGCTTCGGGGGCTAGTCAGCCCGGCCGACCTGGAGGCCGTGGACGTTTGGACTCTGCGGCCATCATGTTCTTCTCGCCGTGGTTAGCACCATTCCGTCACTGTGGGTAGACTTTCGGAAACTCTGACACATTATCCTGCAATGACCACCACAAGCCATCCAGCATCCATCACGCTGGATGCTGGTCCCTGTGCAGGGACGCCAGCCACTCTATGACAAGTCTAATTAGCTTTACTGATAAGAACCTGCTTGTTCATGCTCCGGTCATCCTTAAGTTGTATGGAATAATTTTCCATCCATCCATCCACTTTCTTTAACTGTTTGTCCTACTCAGGGTTGGTCCAGAGCCTATTCCGGAGGTTAGGGGTGCGAGGCAGGGAACATCCCTGGATGGGGCGCCAACCCATCGCAGGGCACAAGGCAGGGAACATCCCTGGATGGGGCGCCAACTGCAGTTATTCTGCAGGCCCCTTTAGTCCTTTAAGATCCTGCTTCTCAAAGCCCAACTTTTTCCATCATTATGGCAAAGCGGCTGGATCTCGTCCCGAGATCCCAGGGCGGTGCGATGTCTTGGCATCAGAAGGAGAGCGTGTCACTCTGTCAGCCCAGACGCCACCAGCAGGCTCCCTGGTGACGCACCGTCTCTCTGTGCCGCTCCCACCCCCACAGCCATGTTCCTGCCCCCCATGCCGGTCTGACCCCGCCCAGCCCGGGGACAATCACAGCTCTAAATTCCACTCGCCATCTCCAATCTGGAACTAAATTGCTCGCTGGCCGCAGTTCACCCCCTCAAAGTGCCACATGCTCTCACCCCACAGATACAAACAACTTTAAACTCATGTCAATATCAGAATTTGGACTGAAGGCACATTGTAAGCATGAGGCAAAACTGGAATATATGCCATTATTATGTTACAAGTACTGCAGGCGGGTTTTTCATTTACATTTGCAAAGAGGCATCTTAATTTGGTTAATTTACATTTATTTGCGATCTAGATGCAATTCATTTCTGTTATAATGAATCCTTGGATTTGGTGGAAATCTCAGAAAGGGTTTCTTTTCACACTTACTAATTTAATCTTTCAAATTAAATCGCACTTTTCCATCTGAGAACCTCTCAGCATCTAATCTGAAGTCTTCTTTTAAATGGCTGCATTACGCTTGTAATGTGGCACTTCTGTGCTTTGGCCTGACAGAGCGACCCCTCATGGCAGACGCTTCTGCTGAGCGGAAAGCGGCCCTCAGGCTGGGATAATGCTGAAAGGGACGCGAGCCTAACAGAGCCGGGACGGACACAAAGGGAGCTCAAAGAAACCTGCAACGGAGCCGGCAAGCAACGGAGCCACTGTAATCTCCAAGGAGACGGCAGACAGAAAATTACATTTGCATTGCAAAAACACTGTTGACTGGCACATCATCCACAGCACTATGGCCTAGTAGGCAGCTAAAATCCAATTTTAATTAACAAGGAGATTGATTGTGAAATATTTACCAAATAATCCTTCAGCTCATCAGCCAGTAGTATCTGGGAGGAGGCCGCAGCCCACATGCCCGCCATGGCCTCAGCCCATCAGCTGGTAGTGTCTGGGAGGAGGCCGTAGCCCACGTGCCCGCCATGGCCTCAGCCCATCAGCCAGTAGTATCTGGGAGGAGGCCGCAGCCCACATGCCCGCCATGGCCTCAGCCCATCAGCTGGTAGTATCTGGGAGGTGGCCGCAGCCCACATGCCCGCCATGGCTTCAGCCCATCAGCTGGTAGTTTCTCTCTCATAATCGAACCCTCCCCCATGACCATTTGTGGGCTGAGCCTTTCTCGGGTGGTTTTAAAGTTAAAGTTACTCATAAAATGTTTGTTTACAGAAAACAAAATCCATCAGTACATAATTATTTGAATTATGAATGATCATACACAGAAACAGCTTTATTTAAAAACAAAGTTAGTGAAAATATAATGTATAAAACTGAACCATGATTTCTCCAGAATTACACACACTAATTTCTCTCTCTCACACACACACACACACTTCTCTGTCTCTCTCTCTCTCACACACACACACACACACACTTCTCTGTCTCTCTCTCTCT